TAAAAGATCGTTCAAGACCAGTCGCTCAATAATTGGTTCCTACTGGGCTCCGGCTCCTTCTCTTGTTTGCAACAGCGCAAGGGGATGAATGCAAAGAGACAGGACGACGAAGTAAGTATTAGCTCGCTGCGACTCTTGGGGTAGGTGTGAAGGACCAGGCATTTCCAACCCAGGGCGGTGATGCGGTGCCAATGATGAGTGGCAATGTGCACACTCTGCCGCCAACGCGTTGGTCTATCCCTCAAGGGTCGTGGTTGTGTACACGTGTGCGGATTGAAGTGCTTGACACTACCTCAAGACCTGAGCGATGGAGAGTCTGCCAGTGAACTTTAGACGACTAGGTCAGAATTCGAACGACGGATGGGCAGACAAACTTGTGCGCTTTGCCTGCTCATCATCTACATTCACGATCGACTCAGAAATTCAGAAGGGTGTGTAGCACTGCCAGGATGATGTAGACATATAGTCAAAAGTGTGATTTCTCCACCTGCTCGAGCTGGTGACAGCCCGGGTGTCTTCATCGTATCCGTGGCCTGGCTCTACGGGCGCAAGCGGCTCGAGTCTAGACTATTCCGAGCAAATGTTCGCATCGTACTTCGAGGTTCGCTGCAAGGCAACCTCCTAGCCGTGTGCGGAGGTGGAGTTGACTGCAAGACGGGGTGAGACCGCGATATACGCAGGAGTGCCTTCAAAATTCATAGAGCGGCCAGAGCGGAGCGTGTAGACGCGTGCACCCTCGTTTTGCCGCACCTATCCATGCATGCAGCATATATGCGCAATCGATCAGAATCACGACTTGCGGCCAGTCTCCAGAGGGTGAGACTCGTGACTGAGCTGCGCTGCTTTTGCGTCGCCACGGCGGGCCGACTGGACGCGGGCGCACGGGACGACTTCCTTGGCGCGGAAAATGTGGCGTGGATATGTGTGTACTCACATCTCAGACTGCTGCTGCATGCATGCACTGCTGGAAAGTGCAGTCGCACCGTCAAAGTGGAGCGAGCAGGCGCAGATATAGAGTCTCGGTGCACGCCAGTCTGCGCGAACGCCGCGCGACACAGTCACTGTGCAATTGCAGAACTTGTGTTCGAGACTGCTTCCGTGCTCCGTACTTTCCCATGCACTGCCCACAGACGCGCCGCGTGCGGATTTGGATAAACG